GATACTCTGTTTTTTTTTTTTTTACTTTTTTCAATGTCCTTCTGTCTCTGTGTTTGAGGAAGTGGAGCTGTGGGGAAGAAGAAAGAAAGTTATGGAAAGGGAGTTGAGTGTTCTTTTTGGAGTTTATTGGCTCTTTTTTTGTTGGGTTTTGTTTGTCTGTGTACATGAAAAAAGAAGAAAGACAGCTTGTGTTTGAGGAGCAGAGGCGTGAAGAAGAAGCATAAGGTGGGTGAGAAGGAGAAGATGTTATCTATTTCTCCCTTCTTTACTGCTCTTAGGTGGAGAAGGGAAAGAGAAGAACTGATCTGTAGAGAAGAAGAAGAGAAAGTCTGTCGAGGGTGGTATTTTTTTAATCTTGCAAAGGGTTCTTTTTATAATGAAAAGGCAGCTTGGTCCTCAAGCATGCTACAATACCAGTTTTGGGTAGGACCGGTCTGAGTTTGGTCGGATCTGACCAGATTGACTATTGTTGACTGGTTTGACCAAGTGGACTTTAACTTTCGTTGACTTTGGACTTTGACTTGGATTTTGGACTTGAGCTCTTTAGCTTATGGTTGATTGTAAGAACTATTTTAATTAGTTGTGATTTAACATTTATTTAGTAATTGAATTTATAATTTTTAGTTTGTATTAATCCCAATTTAGTTTAATATGATGCTTATTTATTTTCTTAATTTGACTTTTCTAACTAGAACCAAAGTCTTAAAACCCAATCCAAAGATCAACTTCACACTAACTGTAAAATTGCTTAATGCATCAAATCGAAGCAAAACATCTCATCTTTCACTATCAATTGCATTGATAAAGATTTGTTATTGCTTAATCTTATTAAGTTATGGTAAACATGACCCATCTGAATCATTATCAATAAGTTTTACCTTGAAGATCATTTAAGATTTGCTATAGCAAACCTTCAATAAAAATAATTTTATTTAATCGAAGATGTTTTAACCCCGGACAAAAAGTGGTGTCTACAGTTGCCCCCCCTTTGTATATCTCTTTGTATAAAAAGATGGACAAAGAGTATACAAAGTCCATAATAGACACTCACATTTTGAACGTCTAAACATTAGCAAGTAGAAATTAAACTTTAACAATGGGTAACAATGACGGATTCAATTTGTTACGATGGTCGAAATTAAACCGAAAAATTTGAATAAGAAAACGTTAGGGATGAAAATCAACCGATTATTTCATAACGACGATATACTCAAATTTTCAATGATAGAAATCAAATAGGGCAACGAGAAAAATATTAGCGATAAATCAAGCTAACCAAATGGTAATCGATATACTCAAATTGTCTATGGTAGAATCAAATTAGACAAGGAGAAAAACGACAACATTGAAAATCGAGCTAACCAAACTTTAAGGACGATGTACTCAAATTGGTTATGATCGAAATCAAATTGAACAATGAGAAAATGTCAGCGGTAAAATCAAGCTAAACATTTGGGATGATTATTTACTCAAATTGTTTATGATTGAAATCAAATCAAACAATGAGAAAATGTCAGCGGTAGGAATCAAGCTAGACACTTTTAAAGGGTGATGTACTCAAATTGTTAGTGATAAAAATCAAATCAAACAATGAGAAAAATGACAACGGTAAAATCAAGTTAACCATTTTTGTAATGTCGATGTACTCAAACTGTCTGTGATAGAAATCAATCAAACAATAAGAAAAATGGCAGCGGTAAAATCAAGCTAATCATTTTGAAAGGATGTGTATTTGTATATCGCATGAAAAGTTTTAACATACATTAATTTAGTAAATGTTTGAGAGAGATTTGGGAATGATTGTGAATTTGTGATGAATAATAAGTAACTTTGATGTATGATGATGTTATGTAATTTTTTTTGGAAATGATTGTGTGATGAGTATATGATTAAGTCGTTGATGCTATGAGAAAAATATGATGTGGTGCTATGTCAATTGTTTTGAAAATATGTTGTTTTTGTTTTGGGTTCCTTTAAATTGCACACCCATAAGAATTGTCTCATGGCCTTTTGTATATTTGATCCTCAGTTGTGCTCAATGGTGTGAGCTCTTAACCGGACCTCCTTCGGGCTTCTCGTTGTTCCAGGAAGAGTTCTTAAATTGGCGTTGGTATAGTGTATTGTGCTCCTTTGTGTCGGATGAATGATTGATTGGTTGGATGAATGAATAAAATCAATGGTGTTCTCAAGTTCTTGGAGATTTCTAAACCGGTGAGTTGAAAAGTGAGCAATTTGGCTTGTGAGAATTTTAGGATTGTTCTTCTTTGAGGCTACATCATTCTTGCCCCCAAAGATATGTTGTTCACTTTCTATTCTTCGGAATAAAGAGTGACTTTATCAACCTTTACCTGAGATGAGTGCAAAAATGTATGAACATTTGTTACATGCCTCCATATGTTGTTGATTTTGTGGTGATACCAGAATGATGTGTTAGTGAATGTTTTTACCTGGAATAAGGTTTGATAGGAGTTACCCAAGAGTAAGTGTGTATGATATGAGAACCTCTTAAATTGGTTAATTAACCTTGCATACATAGTTGGGTAAAGTACCATTTAAGCTACTAGATTCGTTAAGTGAACTTAAGCCCTTGGTGCACTTGCGCAACTTGAGTATGTATTGGGTTAATAATTACTCATTGAGTGGAGTCTCACCCCCACCAATATTTTTCCCTTTCAGAGCCAAAGCAACAACAGAAGCCTCTGTCGAACCAGTCAAGTCAGCCAGATGGCTGAAAGGTGTGCGGCGGAACTGAACTCTCCACCTGTTTTCACTTTTGAAGTCGAACTAACGTTTTTAACTTGAGCTTGTGTACCCACTGAATTTTAAACTACTATGTTGGGGTTTTACTTTATTTTAAACTCAAACTTTGCACCGTTCGGTGTTCTACTTTTGGATGCTTTGGGAAAACTACCTTAAAAATTTCCTAAGCAGGTGATGTAACCCGTATGCTAGTGTTATGTCCAGGTCTGAATGTGAAGTTAAAACCTAAGGTTTAATGATTATATAATGTGATGATGTTCCAATAGTACGAGAAGAAGTAGTAGGATGTTACAAGAAGTAGTAGGGTGTTACATCCACCACAAGACCCTATTGATTCATCTAAGCCTAATTTTTCAGATGATGCATACCCGTCTAACCCTAAAACTCCATATCCAGCATAGAAGCTCAAGTAGGCTAGTAGAGAAGATTAGGGTGACTTACTGATTCGGGTCCAATTGTACACATTTTGCCCCTCATTTCTTGATAGTTTGACTTTGCATTTCATTGTTCCTCGACATATTTCATGCTAGGTTGTGCTTGTTTTGATACATTTCAGGTCCTAGCACATGTGGAGGGGTCGAGGACGAGTTTCGGGATGATTGGAAGTCGAAAAGCGCAAAAACCTAAGAAAATTCCAAAGTACCGTGACAATTGCCCCGTGACCGTAAAGCGCAGGCGTCCAAGAATCAACCCCAGTTCATGGTCAGAGCTGCGAGTTCATGATCTCCAGGACCGTGAACTGGAACCACAAACCGTGAACAATGAGGCGTCCAGGGGGTTCCGGAGGTTACAGATGACAAGGCAATTCACGGTCGCTAAGACCGTGAACTTTGAGCACAAACCGTGAACCCCGGGAAGTGAAGTGGTGCATTTTGGCCACGAACTGAGTTCACGGACGCGTTTAAGTGTTCAAGGCCGTGAACTGGGCGCGATCTCAGTATAAATGGAGAGCTGAAAGGAGGAAGGAAGAGAGCTTTAGGTAGGGTTTTAGTTTTCAGAATAAAGAGGGTTTCTAGTGAGAGATTAGGGTTTCCCCTTCGCATTCTAGAGAGAGAAAGTGACACTCAAAGGAGGAAGAAGGAGATTGGGCTCAATTCAATCTAGGGATTGAAGATTTCTTCTTCTTAAGGGAGATTCAAGCAACAAGGGAGGAAGATTTCCACCTCTCCGTGGTTCTTTATCTCCTTTTTGTTGTTTTCCTTTGCCTACCTATGGATTAGCCTACCTATTCACTTGGGTGTTTGTAAACCCTAGCTATAATTATGTGAATGTTTGTATGAATTGAATGATTTGTGTGTGGTTGTGTTTTAATGTGAATGTGGAGGTATTATTCAGAAATGATTGTGTTGTGTGAAAGCCTATCAATCTAATTGTCATTCTAACTTAGCTTAGAGAGGAGACCTCCTTATGTTAAGAGGCTCCATTGGAGATGGGTTCTTGGGCATTTCATGCCTCCAGGCTAGTTTAGAGAGGAAATCTCCTTCATCCAAAGAGGCTCAATTTGAGCTGGGTTTCCTTGGGCATTCCATGCCTCCTAAGCTAGTTTAGAGAAAACCTTCTTAACTTAAGAGTTTCTACTAGGGATGGTAGATATGGGTTTTCCTTGGTCATTGTATGCCTCCTATTCTAGGTTAGTTAAAGGGCAAACCTCCTAATTTGTATTAAACACTAAGGGTTTGGTTGTGGGTGGTCGTCCGAACTCCAATTCGAGGGTGAAGTCTAACCGTTCCTTAGTCAATAGGTTGAGAGGGTCACATTAGTGGCTTGGATCGTATCCCATTCCTCAACCTAGAGGCTAAGAGGGTAGTTTTGGCTGCTTGTTAGACTTCTCTGCTTGTTAGATTTCCCTTCAAGTCATAATTGCTAGCTAGGGGGAGCAACACCCGGGTGAACTCTTCTCTCATTGGGACAACCTCGATTTACTTTACTTGCTTGTTTTCATTTGTAGGTTTCTTAGTTTTAAACCCAAAAACGTTTGCTAGATAACAAACTAAGCGATTGAAGTAGGGGTACATGGACCGACGCAGGTTGACAATTTAAATACTTGCCCTATGCTGCACTTGGCTAGAGTTTAAAACTCGGGCTCTAGTCGGGATTAATTCGTGGTGTAGTTTCGCGCTAGTCACTTACCTAAGCACAACTAAAGCTAGATGAAGCATTAAAATCAACTAGACAAACATATTCATTCAAAACCCATACATTCACAACCTATAAACTAGGGTTCATTTTCCCTAAACAACCATTATAGATTAAGTCAGAGAGAGAGAGAGAGGAAGAAAACACAAACTAGAAGAGAGGGAGTGATGGAATCAATCTTCTTCTTCTTACTTGCAACTTCTTCTTGCTCCTTGAGTGGAGTGGATTTTCAATGAAGCTCTCCCAAGGTGTTTCCCTCTCTAAAACACTCAAAACCCTATAGTTCTCACTTCAGGTCAGCTCTTCTTTATCAAGTTGATAACATCGGATTTGCACATGTTTGCACCCTCGTTTCTTGATCATTTTGGATTGAGTTTCTGCTTTCTTGGACTATTTTGAGCTAGGTTGTGTTCCTTTGTCACATTTCAGGTCCTAGCATGTGAATTGAAGCATAGGCGCAAGTTTCAAGTCAATCGGAGATCATTTGGCAATCCGGGAGAAGAAACACGAGCATGACCTGAGGAATAATGGACTTCTAACTCATATTATGGATAAATAATCATGGAATTTTGTCATGAAAATAAAGAGGACGAGACTTCGAGCGTCTGGGATCAAACGGCGACTGATTTGGAGTCCGGACGAGGGAGAAACGAAGCATTAAACAGAGGCTGAGCAAGCTACACGGGCACACCTAAAAACCCACACGGCCGTGTGACCTGGCCATGTGGCCGTGTGGGATTTACCGAGCACTCACACAGGCATCTTGGGGAGCCACACGGCCGTGTGGCCCCTGCCCGTGTAGCTTGCCTGGTTGCTTATTAATCGAAACTCCGCGTTTTGGCACTCACATGGGCAGCTGGGTAAGCCACACGGCCGTGTGGCCTGGCCGTGTGAGTCGGGAAATTCTGGGTTTTAACCCAATTTCGAGCCAAAGGAGAGGGAGAGCTGGGTTTTGGTTCCCAAACACCTAAAGGACGAACCCTAGAGAGAGAGAGCGACTTGGGAACATTCTTGGAGCTATTTTGGAGGATTTCTTCGCCATTGGAGCTCGGGAATCAAGCTTGGAGATGGAGATTGAAGATCAAGATCAGATTTCTGCAGTCTCTCTCTTCTCTATGGAGTAACTTCCCTTCACTTAGGTTTTGAGGAACCCTAGTTCCATGTGTTAGGATCTTTCTTGTATGAAGTTTTGGATACTATATTGTTTGATTATAATTGATTGAGGCATGATTTATAGAGTCAATTGAAGCCTGATCATCTTCTCTTGATTTCTGCTTTAACCTATGATAGATAGAATCTGATTAGGTTAAGAGAGCTTCCTTGATTGATAGTGGTGAATTGGTTGTGCGAGAGTCAATTAATTCACTGCTTTGTACTGGAATTCATTCCAGTTGTGGAGATCTGTGTGAATCGCCTTAGCAGTCTATCCCGGTGAAGGCTAGTCGCCTGCCGGGTATTCTGTCCAAGAGGGCTTGGTCAGCTTAAGAGATTCCAAGCTAATTTAGGATCTTCCGCAGTTTAATCAACAATAGATCAACCAAAAGTAATTGCAACTTGGACCTAATTGAGGATCTAGGGGGAATCATACCTAAGTGAGTTCCCAAATTGTAATTAGTAGAGTAGTTAGTAGAGTAGTTTAGTAAATCAATCCTTAATCTAGTTTGCTAGATAATGAACTGAAGCTGAGTAATAGTAACTCTAGAGACCCGTGGATTCGATATTTATTACTTGTGCCACTATACTGCAGTCCCTTTCATTGGTTACACTTGGCCATTGTTAGGTGTTGTGTCGTAGCGTGTAAAGTTTTTGGCGCCATTGCTGGGGACTTTCTAGATTATTAGGAAAGGCAGAAGTTTGTTACTTTAGCGTTTTTCTTTTCTTTTCCACCCTTGCTTTTCACTTGGGTGTTTTCGTTTTTGTTGGTGCAGATCTGAATCATGGATCCTCATGGCTTCTCCAACCATTGGGGGTATCCACCACCATCTGAGTGGTATTACCCCGAGACCCCCTGGAGCAATCAAGGAGGAGAAGACTATGGATTTGGGTTCCAGTACCAACCCCCTTACTACAGAGAACAATCAGACCCCTGGGCATATCAAGAACAACCTCATTGCCAAGAAGACTTTCTCCCACAACCAGAAGGGCCATCAGATCTGGAGTTAGCCATGGAGGCCTTCACGGGCCACTCTGCAGAGCCATGCTACACTTCACTTGAAGATCCAAACAAAAAATTAAGGCTTCTCGTGGAGCAGTTTGCTCGAGACACTGAGAGATCATGCTCCAAGATGGATCTTTAAATCAAAGCCCTTGCCCCTTCCGATCCCTCATTTCTCCATGAAATGGAGGAGACTGTTCAGCGCTCAGCGAAGCAAACAGAGTGGGTGGAGCAAGTTTGCTCACATCTTGCTCAAGATCACCTTTCTGCTACCACGCTAGAAGAGGTGGAGGATGACAAAGGCTACGGGGATGTTGAGGAGCATACAGAAGTTATCACAGAGAACTCCCATGATAATCATGATCAGGAAAGTCCTTTGGTTGCAGATCACACATTTCCTTATTTCTTCTCTAACATGCTGGGCCCGAGGGAGGAGATGCAAGATGATCTCATTGAAGAAATTATATGGCGACTTGCTCTCCAATCTGTGCTAGAAGAAGAAGAGCAAGAAAGGGTGCAGAAAGAAGTTGTGGAGGATGACGAAAGTGAAGCAGGAGGAGTTCTTGATCATTTCCCAGGGGTGATACCACATGAAGAAGAAAGGGGGGTTGAAGAAGCAATTAGCGTCCAGGCTGAGGACGGAGTTAAGGTGGAAGAGGCATGCACCGGCCATGAGTTACATGTGATATCTCCACCAAACTTCGAGGAGCTGCTTGGCAAGGACCCATTTGCAGTGTCTCTTTGCCAGACTAAGACCACGTCGACATCGGTCCCCCTTGGTGGAAGCGATGGTGGCCAATCGATGTTGTCATATCTAGTTTGGGGCAATGAGACGAGAGAATAGAAGAAGAGGTCTCGAGGGTGGAGACATTATCCGCATCAAGTGCATGAGCCTACATCACCAGCCACACCACATGCTCGTGACTTGAGACTCCACCTCATTGACGAGAACCTCAACTTCAAGGAGGTTTTGGGGTGGACCGAAACTTAGGAGCCATCGTCCGGCTCACGACGTGAAAGAAGCGCTTGTTGGGAGGCAACCCAACCAGTCGGTTTGCATTTATTTCTCTATTTCTCCTCGGTTGAGTCAGTTTTTTTTATTTGATTTTAGAGTCAATAACTCAACCTTTGTGAGATTTTGTGTGGTGTTTGTGTTCTGACCACTCTCTCATCCTGGAATACACCGCCTGCCTCGTCCACCATCATTCACCCTTGATCTGGTAACTTCGTTCTACCCTCCTTATCTTTCCTCCATTGAGGAAAATGTCTTGCTTAAGTGTGGGGGGATGTTCGATTATGTATGCGGGTGAATGTTTGGTTGTTTGCATGCTTGGAGCCTAGTCCACTGTCCAAATCTCGAGATTTGAGGGCTCCAAGTACGGCTGTTTGATCATATTGGCGCTGTGTTTTGATTGGTGAATTGAATGGTTTTCGGATTAATGCATGACAACTGGATTGTGACTAGGACAACCTATAATGATGACTGAGACGTGCAGTAGGATTGTGTAGGGGTTCAGTTTTCAACTGTTTGCTTACCAACTGTGACTTGGATGGATCACTTGTTCTTGACAGTCTTTTATGCATCTAGTTCAGGGAATCAGAATGAGAGATAGAGCATATAGGTAGCCATGTGAGATTTGAGACTGCTCGTTTCTTTCTTGCGCGATAGTTCCCTCTTCCATAATGTGTAGCATTCACGTTGTCATTAGCTAAGATGATGGAGGCATAGGATTAGCCCACGACCAAATTGACTGTCCTGATGTGTCATATCCTCTAGTCAGCCCCTTTGAGCCGTGTGTTATCCTTTCTTTCAGTCTACAATGAAAAATCACCCTTTTGCATCTTTTAGAAGGTTCCACAGAGTGGTTTTTACATGTTCTCTGCTGTTTCTGCTAAATATAATGTGAGGGTTGGAGGTAGTGCTTAAAAGTTGGGCATATGTTTGAAATATGTGCAGAGGTGGTGGTTCTCTTAAGGAATGAAAAAAAAAATGAAAGAAAAAAAATGAAACCCTTTTGCATCTTTTAGAAGGTTCCACAGAGTGGTTTTTACATGTTCTCTACTGTTTCTGCTAAATATAATGTGAGGGTTGGAGGTAGTGCTTAAAAGTTGGGCATATGTTTGAAATATGTGCAGAGGTGGTGGTTCTCTTAAGGAATGAAAAAAAGAATGAAATAAAAAAAATGAAAGAAAAATAGAGCCACTACCAAAAATCTGAATAGTGCCCATTAAGTAGTGTTTCTTAGCAGTCTGGCTTGGAAATGCTGACATTTATATAACCTCCTTCGCTCGTGTGCTCGTAAGAATTTGAGTAATGCAGAATGGCAGAAAGAAAGTAAGTGGTTTGATTGACTGTGATTGTGTTGGGTTTGGAATTGTGGAACCTTGTGCTACGAATACTTCCACCACCTAAAAGGCCTTTTCCCCATGTCCAAGACCCTAGCCAGTCATCTGAACCTGTGTCTAAGACCTCCGGATTACTTAGTGGTGACACCTCATATGTGAACTCTAACATTTAGAGGCTGCCGTCATGGTGAAGAGACGTTAGGAATTGAGAGAATAAGTATGCGCATTTTTCGCATCAAATTGTCCTGACCCCATTGGTCGAGAGTGAGCGATTCATTTCCTTGTTCTGTACACTCTTTACCCCGGTGAGGACCTAGATGGCTCGGTCTTGATTCTGATGTCTTGAGTTTTATGCATGAGTTGACTGTTTTGAGTAAGTGGTTGAGTCAAGTCTAGGTTGGTTGATGAACAGAAGGGAGACTTCTCCTTTACTCGACTTTGCTGCACTCGAATGTCCTCTGTGGTGGTTGTCCAGGTTGCGGTTGAAGTTGTTCATGTGTTGATGTTTGAAAGCCGGTGTGATTCCCATGTTTTGTGCCTATATGATTTGTCCCCAATGTTGGTATGATTGAAATTGTGAGCTTACCTTGTGTCTGACTTGGTTTGCTTGGGGACAAGCAAACGGTTAAGTGTGAGGGAGTTTGATAACATCGGATTTGCACATGTTTGCACCCTCGTTTCTTGATCATTTTGGCTTGAATTCTGCTTTCTTGAACTATTTTACGCTAGGTTGTGTTCCTTTGTCACATTTCAGGTCCTAGCATCTGAATTGAAGCATAGGCGCAAGTTTCAAGTCAATCGGAGATCATTTGGAAATTCGGGAGAAGAAACACGAGCATGACCTGAGGAATAATGGACTTCTACCTCATATTATGGAAAAATAATCATGTAATTTTTTCATGAAAATAAAGAGGACAAGACTACGAGTTTCTGGGATCAAACGGCGACTGATTCGGAGTCCGAACGAGGGAGAAACGAAGCATGAAACAGAGGCTGAGCAAGCCACACGGGCACACCTAAAAACCCACACGGCCGTGTGACCTGGCCATGTGGCCGTGTGGGATTTAACGAGCACTCACACGGGCATCCTGGGGAGCCACACGGCCGTGTGGCCCCTGCCCGTGTAGCTTGCCTGGTTGCCCATTAATCGAAACTCCGCGTTTTGGCACTCACACGGGCAGCTAGGTAAGCCACATGGCCGTGTGAGTCGGGAAATTCTGGGTTTTAACCCAATTTCGAGCCAAAAGAGAGGGAGAGCTGGGTTTTGGTTCCCAAACACCTAAGGGACGAACCCTAGAGAGAGAGAGCGACTTGGGAACATTCTTGGAGCTATTTTGGAGGATTTCTTCGCCATTGGAGCTCGGGAATCAAGCTTGGAGATGGAGATTGAAGATCAAGATTAGATTTCTGCAGTCTCTCTCTTCTCTATGGAGTAACTTCCCTTCACTTAGGTTTTGAGGAACCCTAGTTCCATGTGTTAGGATCTTTCTTGTATGAAGTTTTGGATGCTATATTGTTTGATTATAATTGATTGAGGCATGATTTATAGAGTCAATTGAAGCCTGATCATCTTCTCTTGAATTCTGCTTTAACCTATGATAGATAGAATCTGATTAGGTTAAGAGAGCTTCCTTGATTGATAGTGGTGAATTTGTTGTGCGAGAGTCAATTAATTCACTGCTTTGTACTGGAATTCATTCCAGTAGTGGAGATCTGTGTAAATCGCCTTAACAGTCTATCCCGGTGAAGGCTAGTCGCCTGCCGGGTATTCTGTCTAAGAGGGCTTGGTCAGCTTAAGAGATTCCAAGCTAATTTAGGATCTTCCGCAGTTTAATCAACAATAGATCAACCAAAAGTAATTGCAACTTGGACCTAATTGAGGAGCTAGGGGGAATCATACCTAAGTGAGTTCCCAACTTGTAATTAGTAGAGTAGTTTAGTAAATCAATCCTTAATCTAGTTTGCTAGATAATGAACTGAAGCTGAGTAATAGTAACTCTAGAGACCCGTGGATTCGATATTTATTACTTGTGCCACTATACTGCAGTCCCTTTCATTGGTTACACTTGGCCATTGTTAGGTGTTGTGTCGTAGCATGTCACAAGTGCAGAAAAAGGAGTATTTATAGGCTGATGGTGGTGGTCACAACCTCGAGGGCGTGACCCGATGGTCACAATCGTGATCTGGTCGTGACCAGCTGGAACATTGCCGACTCGCCCGAAATATCGCGTTTTGACACTGTCTTTAAGCTCCGAGATTGCGACCTCCTTCCTAAGATTGTGGTTGTGATCTTTGTGTCACGAGTGTGATTTTTTTCGCAGTCAAAACACACCATGTCCGCAGTTTGGGTGTCGAAACTTTCTGCCTTCTTCTCGGTCGGCTACCGAGGTTCACGACCACTGTTCATGGTCGTGATCTTCAGGCCGCGAACATGGTCACTACCTAGTGGTCATGGTCGTGATGTGTGGCCGTCACCTGTGCCTTTTCTCCCCTTTTTGCTCCTATGCTTCCCAATCATGCTCGAATGAAGTCCAATTGATCCCCGATCAATCCCAAATGCATATACGACCTGGAATTTCATCACAAACACTGGAAAATCATAAAATATGAATGAGTGGCGTTGGTTCCTCTATGTAAGCCTTCATATCAAGAATACCTTTGCAAAAATACCTGTTTTGCAAATAGGAAAGAAAATAGGCATGAATAACTTGATATGTGGCCTAGACACGGTGATTTAACATGCAAATGCCTCAAGAATAAGGGCTAAATAATGCCTATTTTAGGTGTTATCAAGCTTTATTTTTGGATGAACCCAAAAGAGAGGAGCAGTTGACTCTTGAGTGGTTATGCAAAATATGAGTATATATAGTAGATATATGACTAATTGATTAATTAGTTTGATTGGTTACGAGTGTCTGAAACCAAATCAAACCATCTAAATCACAAAAGCTAAAAAACTTAACTAAACCAAATCAATTTTTTTGAAAACTACCGATGGTAAACACTCCGTTTGAACACACTAGTTGGTCTTTAGTTAAAATAGATTTGGCTATTGTTATTAATTTTTCGATGACTAATGCGACAAGGTTGACAAAATTTTAGATGAAAATGGATGGAAATGACCATATTGTTACGAGTTGGAATCTATATAGCTGAATCGTGCAAAGTTGAATTTTTGTAACAATTTGTCCATTTTGTACAAAACCCAAACTCCAAATAGATACGGGTCGCTTGGATAAGGTAATTCAATGAGTTATTTCGGTCGAAATAATTCAGAATAAGTTATTTTAGCCGAAATAACTTGTTTGGCAAAAATAAAATTGAATGTGATATTTTGTCCACGAGACAATTGAAATAACTCATTGTGAGTTATTTTAAATACCTACCCACCCCCTAGTTACTTCAAATAACTCATTTCTCAACTTCATTTTTCAATTCATCCCTTCTTTAAGTGCTCAAATACGACAATATTTGAATGTTTTATCCAAACAAGACAATTAGACCAATTACCACATTACAAACCGAAATATCACATAGAGAAATAATGCAACATTTTGATTCGGAATACTACAGAACCAAAATGATGCATCCGACCAATATCCTAATCCTAACACTAATATAAAGAGGTCCCCCATGAGAAGGTACTTAATTCTAAACTAGTCACGGGCCCGGCTAGTTGGCCGGATTAGGTTGTCAATCATGAAAATAACAGTAACTTTTTGTATTCAAGTTACGCATTAGTATAAGATAATCTAAAATTTTCAAATACACGAAACGTTCGAATCAATTTGGAGAATAAGAGAATACAAATTATTAAAATAGTTCAACAATTAAAAGGATCAACATCATAGTTTTTTCGACATTTAATAACTAATGGACTAAATTAAAATGACTAATCTAATTACTCTTCATCATCAGAGATTACTACACGTTTTCTTTCTGGCTTGTGTGCATTACCTCCAGCATGAGCAACAACCTCATCGCCAACATTAGTAATGTCTTCGTCTCCATTACAGGCACATTTATCTCCAATATTAATTGACTCTTCCTTCTTCTCTTGCATTTCAGTTATCTCTTTATTGTTTTCCTGCATTTCATTAAGCAACAAATTTTGATGGTCAAATATATTTGCAAATATAAATAGTCTTTTTCAGTTGAGTAATTGTAGTTATATAAGATTCATGTAATTTGTTTATGTTTCATGTTATACGATAAGAAGTTCCATAGAACTGTTATTTAATGAGAGACTTAATTTCAAACAATATAAAAATGCAATACAATTCCTAAAAAAAACTTGGGAAAAATATGAATTTTTTTTGGAGATTTATTTTCTGGATTCGTACTTAACAAATAGTCCAAAAAGCTCATGCTCTATATTTAGAGTAGGAAATCTAATTGATAACTTATTATTGTTAGTAAAAGTATATATTTAATTTGAAAATGCAAAAGAGTCCTTCCTATAATCATTCAATTTAGAGAAGAGTAATTTAAATAGTATATATAAGATAAATTCATGAGGATATTAAAAATTCATGAGATGAATAACTAACCTTGATTTGTTGTAAAATTCGACATTAATGTGTGCCTGAAATTGCAACAATATGTATATGTTGTTCTCTGGACGTCAATACTTTACAAAACCATGCCATTTGTAGTTGTTTGGATACCGAATTCCTATGCCAAATGTTTAGAGCGATACACCATTAGTTGTACATGGAGCTTTAGGTCCTTGGAAGCCACATGGACCATGATATCTAAATTTTGTAACCGCATCACAACATTCAGGATCTGCTTTAGGATCCGGGATTTCAGCAAATATAACTGAATCTATTTCTGAAAGACTATATAATTTGTCTTCTCCGACAAGGAAAACTAATAAATGAGCATATGAGGTAGACCACTTTTTGAAATTCAATGGTCAATACATTTGCAATGAAAAAACTATCAAAATATTAAATTGTAAAATAATAGTTAGCGAACAAATAATGAACCACAGATGCTTAAAGTAAAACTATTGAATCTATATAATACAATAAGTCTTTTCTCGAATTCAAAATTCAAAAGTTTTTATGCAGTCGCGACAGCATCTCTTACGACCAATCAATAAAATTTGTTAACTCTTATTTTATTTTTCCCCGTAGATCTAAAAATATGAATTGAAAGACTAGTTTATTTTTATTTTGTTTTATTCTTTTTAGCTTTTCTTACAATCCAATCAAAATGTAACCACTT